TTACCACGCAGCTAGCGGCATGGATGATTGGTGAGCGGGCAAGCACCCGCGAATTTCCCGATGCGAGTGTCTGAATTCTTTCAAAACCTTGGATTTGAGAGATCCAAAAATTTTAAGATGTACCCCAGATAATTTTTTCAAGTGCGCTACGCCACGCACCTCCGTACAAAAAACAATTGCTGCCCTCCCAGACGGAAATCCTGCGAGCTACACTTATACACAAATACAAGGTGTATTTGTGTAGAAATTGTGGTCGCATTCCCAAAAGTATCGTCCGCTTTTCAAGTGGTGCTGGGCGTTCTGCGCCTCTGACCGCATGAGCAACAAGTTGGTCTTCAAAAAAGTGCCCGGAAATTTCACAACACTTTTGCTTACAAAAATCTACTTCGCAAAAAAGTAATTTTTGTCACTTGCCTCTCCAATTGAATTCTGTTTTTTTCGCGAACTCCAACATTATACGGCTTAGCGCTGGAGGGCTTTAGTTTGTCCGATATGCTGCTTTTACTTTTCGCTACAGCTGATAAATTTATTAGCGTTTGACCTCCACTAAAAACTTGTGAAATCATCTGCAAACGCCACTTCCACTGAAAGCGCTTTTTCCGTCAAAAAGGGTAAAAACAGCAAGAATGAGCTTTCCCCAAAGCTCCCATTTTCTTTTTTGGCTAAAACCTGAGGACGCAGTGTACCGCAGGACCCCAATTGTAAGATGGAGAAGCAGTGTTTACTCAAAGTAGCCACTGGTGTTGGCTTGGGAACATGCTGATTGGGAGTCCAAACTAAAGATACGACAGCAACCATATGATAGCAATTAAATTGTTTATTAGTTCGTGATTACATGCTTGTAGCTATTTTTCTGACATAAACTGGGTGCATTTATTTGATTGCCGTCTCCATATCATTTGCTTCATTTGGATCCAAGTTTTCGTAGTCTCCACATTCTTTAGCTAAATAAAGTAGCAATGTAACATGCAGTCCTCTAAGTCGTTGACTTTTAATTTTCGAATTCTCACCCATTTCCTCTGCGACTGCCAAGATTTCGCTGAAGTCTGCGCCTTCAACTGTGACTTAAAATAAACCAAATTTTTGGGCACAACAAAGCTTTCGTAATACTTCGTACATTGTGACGGCCTCCTTCGAACTCTAACACGGGATACTTTCTTTTGCTGAGGCTTTGTCTCTATAGAAGGCTTCGGTTCATGCGATCGCATTTCACTAGAATGTTCGTCTCTCTTCAACTTTTCGTCAGATTTGCTGAGGGTAACACGTCGCCCAGGATGTGGAGCCTCAAAAACCATGGCTGTTTTCATCCCCGTTGTTGTCTGCTGTTTT